GATTTATGGTTGAGGAATTTTATTCATTTGTTTTTTTTTTCTTACGTGGAAAAAAAGAACGTTCGAAATTTCAAGTGCAGACTTTTTGATGTGGAGTTTTTTTTACTTAGGATGTTTTGTAACTTTTGTGCAGGAGTAATCCAATTTTTTTATTGAATAGTTTGATGCTCGTTCTCTTTTTTCTTTCATGTTGTCTTGCAATGGTCTTGATTTTTCACAGAGATGCTTTCCAGACTAATTTTAGGTAGTGCGAACACTTTACGCGCTGTTATTATAACGTATATTGGATTGTATTTCGTTTACAAGTGGGGTAGTAAAAAGAGAAGGGCCGCTTTGGAAGCTGCAAAGAAACGGGAGCAGGAGAATATTGTCCGAGACGCAATGGCACGATCTGGTTTATTGTAGAATAGTTGTATTTTTTAGGCCTTGGCTCGTAATTTTTAGAAAGATTGTTTCTTAATAAAGTAGTTTAAACACATGTGTAGTCGATTCCCATTCGGTACTTGTTGCTGCCATGGCTCCTTGGGACGCGAATGATTAAAGTTTTCGTGATTAATACGATCTGTGACGTTTACAAGTGCTTTTAACGTCTTTATCTTTCGTGTTCTACTAAACTTTTGCTTAAATATTTTGTGTGATCTGAAAAAATATTAAGTTTTAGTTTATTTGTAACGGTTTAGTAGATTTTTAAATAAAAAGTTTTATACGAATAAAGGTTTAATGAGGTTGCTGAAAAAAATTTTCCTTTTTACGCCGTTGTTAATCGGCTTGGTTGGATAGTGAGATTTGGGTATATGTGTTTAATGAGCATCCAGTTTGGTTATTTTACAGTAAAATGAAGTTGAGCAGTTGACATCTGCTTTGTTTTCATTTTTTTGAAATGTTTCGTTTCATGTTCGGGGCGAAACCCAGTATCCTAGTTAATTTTTTAATGATATCCAGATACGTTTGACCTACACAACACTTGGCTTTCAACATTGTTCCTTTTTGGCTGTTGGTGCAGACTTATTGTTGCAACTGTTTGGTTCGGTTCTTTTTCATTTTATATTTCAAGAAGTATGTGAAAGGTTTTAGGACGTCTAGAACTTGAATTAATATGCACAGTCGGTTTGTGTTTTTGTTTCAAGGTCTTTAGTAGATTTCATTAATTAGGCCCGTTGTGGTCCAACCGAGAAAATGATGAGGTCAAATGAGTGTGGTGAGAGTGTTTTGGTCCATTTTGACGATTAGGAATTGGCTGTGCATGGAGGCTGTTTTCCATAGCTGTTGGTGTTTTTTGCTATGCTCCTTCCAAATTGCTTTGAATCGGCTGTTTCGACATCTGTATCATTAAATATTGAAGGCTGTTGGTGTTTGAGGATTTTTGGAAGAGTTGTTTTGGAGAAATGCTGAAATATTCTGGTAAAATTGCTGTTCAGTCATATCATCAGCATAATTGATGTAACGGGAAACCTCGGAGGAATTTGTTCAACTGTGCATATCTATCTCTTATGATAGATCGTAGGCTTGAAAAAGTCCCAGCTTTATTTCCTTTTATTTGCTCGTTAGTGTACTCATTTTTTAATTGTCGTTTCAGAAATAACGATTTAGGCTGTTTTTCTTGCATTTTAAGTTATTGTAGTTCATACATTTTTGTTTTCGTTGATGTTTATTTTAGAGTCATACTGTTGGGTTTTAGGGGTAATTTGAGTGGATGGTTCATGATTATTATGAGCATAAGAAGAGTAAAGGAGGGCGTGGAACACGGTTTTTTAGTTTGGACGGAACCTATTCTAGTTTTCACCCGGACTGTTTGTGTTCTGGTCGGTTTCTTGAGTCAGAATTTAGGAACTGCATGAGATTAGAAGAGCAAATATCTAAATGAATGGTACTAAAGGGAAGAGATGATAGTTGAAAAGCTCCTAATTTTTATCAGCTGGCCGAAAGATTCTAGAAAAGGCAGTAATTTAGAGGAAGTGTCAAATCATAGACTGAACCATCTGGTTGTGTTGTTACAGCACTGATTCGATTTTGCCAGATATTTTTCAATCTATAAATGTGAGATGCTATGCATTTTTTTTATTGGAGTTCCATGCAATAAAAATCTGGGTATTTTTTCGCCAGTTCGTTCCAATGGAGTTCGAGCAGAACTGATTCATCTTCGTCTTTCCTTTAGTTATCTGCTTTTGTTTGACACAGCGTGAACAGTATGATTTGTTTTAGAGCTCTGCGGTCTTGTTCGTTTTTTGTTTCAAGTATTTTCAAGCTGTTCTGTAAGGGAACGGAGGAGATGATAGTTATCAGTTGTTGGATAACCATGAGGGCAGCTTTGTGAAGTCTAGGCAGAGGTGGTGTCGGGAAATTGAAGTATTTTAGATTTTGTCGTATTATCTGGGTCGAAAGGCAGAAATTCTTTTATGGCGTTTGCCATATGTTTGCTATATATTTGCCGAAGAAATGTTTTAAGTTTTGAGGTTGTCTGTTCTCGGCAGGGATAAATTTTTTTTTTTTTTTGTGATATTTGGGATGGATTGAGTATAACGGGTCATTGGTGCTCTTTTTTGTGGCTCAGAAGAACGGAAGGCTGTGTAACATCATTGCTGTGACAGCCTTTTACAGCATAGTCAAAATCACTGCTATCATTTTTTTCTGGTTCGCTTATTTTGCTGCCTTCTTCGTTGGCTTCTGATATGTATAGCTCCACAGAGCCTTTTGTTGTTATTTTGTTGCTGCTGCTGTAGTTTTGAAAACCGGGGCTAAAAAGCTTTCTCGAATCGATATCATATGTTCGATGTCTATAAGGAAATAATGACCTTTGAAATATATTATTCTGGTTTTTCTAATGAGATTTTTTGTTATTGTAAAGGAAAACAAAGAAAACAATTATTTCTTGGTTTCTAATTTTACATCTTCTTGAACCAATTTTTCAATGAATATCAATGTTTTCTCTATTGATCGCGGTAACGTCTTGCGCTTGCCGGTTAATCACTTTTGCTTCTTACTTTAGTCAGCATTAGTGATTGGAGTTGATACATGCTGGTAGTTTGGAATTAGAGTTGTCGATTGTTCTTTTTCAGAAACCTCGAAGATAAATGAGTGTTTTTATATAGCCAAGCAGCTGTTTTGTAGTATAGATTAGAACGATTTGTGGTACGGCTTTCATATTGGGTGTATTTTCTGCAGTGTCGAGTAGCTAGTTAAGTTTTTGAACTGATTAGCAAGACCACGATACCCGCTGAAATTATGGAGAATTAGGTGGTTATTAGATCCGGTATCACGTGTGGAGGGGGGAAGCTTTGATGCGGGTTTTGACTAAGCTTCTTTCCTCCCACAATTCAAACAGGGAGTAATTGTTGCGTTGGAACTTTTGAAATGTCTCCTGAAATAATCTGCAAGCACCTTGCATTTTTTTTGCCTGATTTTGTGCTTTGGAACTTTGACTGTTAAGTTGTAAATATGAGGCAGTAGTTTTGCAAAAATGATTCTTTTTCAATCATTTTTCGCTGCTAAAGTAAAGGTCACTGTTTTATAGCACATTCTAAGCAATTTATCAGAATGCTACTTTTTTTGTCACTCTTTCGTTTCTTTCCGAATGGTTTTTTGAGGGATTTCTTTAGCGGCACTTGAAACAGATACTAGTTGTGGACAGTTGTTTTCGGAAGTCTTCTTAAGTTTTTTTTCTTTTTGAACTTTTTAGGCTTCACGCGGTTTATATTTTAACATATAATTTTGTTCGCTTACTTAATTGCTTCGTGACTAACTTTTTGAAATTGTCTAAAAGTTTTTTCCTACGTAAGACAAGAAATTTATTTCTATTATCTTTTTTCAGCCACGTGTTGCTTTTTTTCCCCCTGTAGATCTACGAAAGTTGTTCGTTGTTAAAGAAAGGAAATATCAATTATTTTGCTGTTAGTATCACTGAACTGAGAAACTCTAGTCAAGGTTGTTGGTGTACAGCAGCAGATAATGAGTATATGAAATTGAGCAAAAAAGAAGGAAAGCAACAGTTTGGTTGTTGAAATGTGTTAGTTTGCTAAAATAGTTCAAGCCGTCAACCGAGTGAAGATGGGTAAATATTTGGGGGAGGATGATGAAGCAAGAAAGTAAGCGGGTGCTAGTCGCAGTAACTTAGAAGTCTTAGCAGTCTGAGAAATGATTCATGATATGTATTTGGTGTGCGGTGATGGCAGTGATTTTTAATGGTTTAGTTTTTGATCACCGGAACGGTGTTTACCAGTAATAGAAAGTGCTATAAGCAGCACGACAATGTTAAAATAGGACTATTTAAGTGAATTGTGCCAGTTTTCAAGGAAGAAAGGACAACGACATTGACAATGAGAAATTCACAGTTCAAAAGCAAAAAATCTGTTCAAAAGCAAGAAAAAAAAGAAAGAAATAGCCAAACAAAAAGATCGGGTTTTGAAATGCAGAAATTTTTTGGTTTTGTGAAACAACGTTCTGAAAGAGCTAAAATGGAAACCAAAATTTAAAAGCTTAATTATTGTCTTTTCATCTCGCCTTTTTTTCATTTGGTTTCGTTTGCTTAGTCAACACATTTTATGTTGTCACAAAACTTAGGCTTTTTATGAATAGATACCAACCGGTTTTTTTGCCAATGTATTAGCATATTTAATAGTTTCCTTCTTAAATATTGCCAATTTTTGGTTATATTTATAATTGCTAGAATTGTATGCTTATTCAACCATGATTTTGATGTGCTCTTCGGAAAAGTATAGTGAGCGGTTTTAAGTTTTGATGTAAAAAAGTTCTGGACAAAAAAAAAAACATCAATATATTTAGATTTTTCTGTGTTAATTGTTGCCTTTGTTGTTTTCATATTAAATTTGCTGATGTTTGCCACAGATATAACCAATAGAAAAATATGTACCGTGTGAACAGACGAGTCGATTGAAATTTTTTGCCGAAATGCCTGTTTTTTTGCTTGTACGATATTTGGCTGTACGATTTTTGATGGCTAAACGATTATTTCATGTTCGGTTTGGTTTTACAACAGAACTGATTCTGACGGAACAGTTTTATGACAGTCATTCAATAAGAAGGATAATCAAAAGCAATATTTTAGGGTAGCCATAAAAAGGAACTGAAGTTATGGAAGGATAGAAGAGATTATTTCAATTATTATATCACTGTATTTTTGACGTTTTAAAAACAACTAAGTAATTTTAAGGACCAAAGACAAGAATAAAACCAAAACACTGCTGTTGTTGTAGTGGATAATGGAACTTGTTCTGTTCGGCGAATACAAAGCACAGTGTCGATGATTGCATGAAACAGTAAGTTTTTTCGTAATTTTTCGTCCTTATGTGTAGCACTTAAATGCTTAAATAGATGAAAAAAGTCCTGAAAAGATGTGTTTTTGGAAGTTTAAAACGGCGAAAAACCACCTTTTTTCTCAGTTTTTATTT